GGATGAATGAACAAATGAAGGAATAAATGCACAATATGCCCTAAAGAGTCTCGGCCTGCGGTAGAGGAAGCACCCACACTGGGTTTCATGTTTGATATGCTCACTCTTGCCAGTTTTCTGCCTTAGGACGCTCTTTTTTTAATATGCTATGTTTAATAACTGTGCACATGAAAATAGTTTATGTCAGCTAAAGAGATTAGAAAGGCCTTTTTTTCTCTAGGCAATGCTGAATAAACTGTGTTATGTTCCTGTGTTGTGGCTGTGATCCTCCTGTGAGGTCAGGTATGGAATTTTCTACCTGTGGCATGTGCCAACACTCAAAAAGTTTCAGATTCTGGAGCATTTCAGATTTCAAAGTTCTGTGTCGGGATGCTCCACCACAACTGTTAGGATTTTTATTAAAAAAAAAATTCATAACAAGATAATGAAAGAATAACAATAGTTAATACACTGTGTATGAAATTTAGCAATTGGTCAGTTTGGAAAAGAGAAGGCCCAGAAAAATGTGATACCCTTTGTGTGTCTAGTCTTTGGGTTTTCAGAGTCTACACTAAAATGCAGATTTTCCTGCTGGCTTTTCCCTTCACCGGAGAGCCTTCATCAATCAGGGAACTCAAATTCCTCTTCATGAAATTACAGAAATTCTCCAAATCTCTCAGTTCACATTAGTGGCAATGGTGGTGGTGGTTGTAGTGAGTTTATGGTAGAAAATGTTCAAAAGAAAAACAGATGAGCATTTAAGAAACCACTGACAGATCATACTAGACCTACTAAAATTGTCCTGGGACTTGGGAATACCAAGGGGGATGTTTTATACCAGGTATATGTGTTGTTACTTTTTACTGTAGTTTATGCTTAACAACGCTAATCTGATACAATCACATGTAGTATTTTATTTTACTTTCTGAGACAGGGCTGTTTTGAGACCCTAGAGCAAGTTAAATCCCCTTGCTGATGAGATACCTATCATCCTAGTATTTATCAGAGTTCATTATAATTTATTTAACTATATTAAATTCCCTGAGAGAAAAATATGTCGAGTTTACTCATATAGTAAGTTGAGCTAATATGCTAAGATTATTAGTGCCTTACTAACCAGGATTGCTTGAAAAGACTACATAATTGGGACATAAACATCTTTAGGTCTTAGGTTTATAGTTGCTACACGAAGCAGTTTGTACGTACTTAGTGATAAACATATAGAAATAGAATCCGTGCTTTGTCTTTCCATAACAGCAACCTTTTTTAAAAAACTCTCTCTGGTTCACGCAACTTATAAAATCTTAGATGGTACCAGCTGTTTGGAGGAGGCTGTCTCATATATCCTTGACTGTAAAGTGTAGGCAAGATTTATTCTAGCCACATAAGTGTAGTTTCAACCTTGACTTTTGTGTTTCTGAGCTGGATGTAATCTGCAACATGGCCTCTTGTCCCAAATGAAATTCTTACCTGTGTAGTGCTGGCGTCAGTGCGAACACTCAAAATAACCACAAGATATTACTGAAACGAGTTCTGCCCACAAACTGTTTCCCTCTAAGAAATCTTAATTTAAAGTAAATATTTTTAAAGAAAACCATTTTGCATTTCAAGCAACATTCAGAAGCGCGGGTGGGAAAAGTTGTACATGAATATACAGAAACATCTGGGGTAAGTGTCTAAGCGCAGACTGTCAGTATCTCAAATTAGGTGTTTCTCCCACTACATAGTTCCCAGCAGTGAAAACAGGACAAAATCTCCTCTCCTGTTCTTTCCAGGGCTGACTGGCTCCGGTACTCTTGGCTCACCCACTCATCAGGACTGGGCCACAAGGGGCCGGTGGGCTGTGTTGTGTACAGTGGCATCCCATGTGCTCCCAGTGGGCACTGCACGTATCTGCCAGAGGGGACCTGGGGCTTTCCAAGTACTTTAAAATGGGCCCACTGGGGCTGGGGATTTAGCTCAGCGGCAAAGCGCCTGCCTGGCAAGCGCAAGGTCGTGAGTTCGGTTCCGGTGCCGGAGAAAAACCAAAAAAAAAAAGGACCCACTAGTATATTCTTCAAAGCTGTCATTAACTTTAAAAAAAACCAGAGCTCTTCATTTTTCTCACACTAGTTACTTGATAATCTTTGGAGCACTGCCTCTGTGCTGGGCTCAGAGTGAAATTTGTTGGAGGAGACTAAGCAACACATCCAGAATAGACTGCCGGTTTTCTTTTCCTAAGATTAAAAGAAAACAATAGGGGCTGGGGATTTAGCTCAGCGGCAAAAAGCGCCTGCCTGGCAAGCGCAAGGTCGTGAGTTCGGTTCCTGGTACCGGAGAAAAACCAAAACCAAAAAAAAAAAAAAAAAAAGAAAACAATAAAAACCAACCCACAGAGGTTTTGGAGGTGAGTGAAATGCCACAGAAGTCTTTAGCGGAACACTTAACACATTTCACCTTACTTATGAGCTGCTTTTCTTTTGACATGGCCCAGACACTAACTGAAATCTAAACAGTTATTAATTGCTTTCAATTAATTCTCAGCATTGTAAAGATCATGAAAATTTGCCATCAATCCGACCTTTTTGTGCGCGTGGTACCGGGAATTGAACTCAGGACCTTGGGCTTGTCAGGTGCTATGCCACTGAGCCATATCCCTGGCTCCTGACTATTATTTTTATTGGTAGTTGATTGCATGCCACTGATAACATTGAAAGGAACACAAAATGAAACACAATGAACATAATAGAAAAAATACGCAAAATATGAAACTAAGATGTACGTAGCAGGCAAAGATGGCAAATGCAGTGGACAGCGACAGGAGGGAAGGGCTTTTTGATGAGACGCTGGACTCTGGAGCGATGGTCTGTAGGTGCTGACCAGAAAGAGGCTGTTTCATATAATTTTTGAGAGATCAACAATTTGCACACAGATGTCTGTCAGTGCATTTGTGAAAACTGTTCCACTCTCATCCTAGATGCATTTGTGTGGAAGATGAGTTGGCACTTTTAGGGAAGTTAAGTAATAAATTGTGTGAACTAACACATCACACCCAAACCAGAACTAGTATGGATATATAATTTGCTTTCTAAGTCTGTTGGCATTCAGTTCTCAGTACCATAGCAAAACCCAGAGAAAGACAATAAGCAGAATTTTCTTGGAAACCATTAACTCTAATAAACAGAGAGAGAGGGAGGGAGAAACTTGAAATGTGTTCCTGCAGGACAGAGAATAAGTTCCACCTAAGTATGACCAACACACGGGGCAGAGGGTGTTCCAATTAGAGTTTTGTAAATAAGTGTTATGTTTTAGCCATTCAATTTCATATCTAATTAGCTTTTAGGAAAATTGACTGAAAGTATAAGGATTTGTTTTAAGTTAAAAAAGCCAATGATCACTGAGGGAAAGAAAGCCAGTAAAAAATCACTGTTGTTTTCTAAATTAAAAGGCCCATATTCTCATTCTTAATCACGTCTTGCTCTATTTAACAAGATCCACACAACCGTTTTTATCAATAAATTTCAGGCTGAACAAAGACAATGCTAGGAATTAGGTTAAAATGTATAAATGATCTATATGACTCCAGAGGTTAAATTTAGTTTAAAAACTAGTAATCACTTTACACTTGAAGGGATTACATTTTTTAAGCAGTATTTGGTTACCTTCTCTTTGCAGTGACTCTAAATCTTCTAGAATAAATAACACTAAGTTTATTCTTATTTTTTTATTTGTATCTTCCCCCAAAATCTTAGCAAACAAAAATCTTAGCAGAGAATCATGTCCCTTTTGAGTTAGAAGGATGTCTCAAGAACTTTGTCAAAACTCCCTTAGTTTTCAAATCATGTAATCTGAGATCTTACAAACAGATTTTGTCCTCCCACTGAAGGGAGAAAGAACAGCATTATAATTTATTCTCTCTGAAATGATTCTCATATTTTGTTAGATGACTTTCAATTTAATCTACCCACACTAAAAATATCTCTTGAAAAAAATACACGTCAAAACAATTTTCTCTGATCTTCTTAAATAAGATACAATAGAGAGTGAGCCAGTGACTTACATTACCCAAGTGCCTGTAACCTTAGCGCATGTCTGCAGAGTAAGCCCCAGGTTTTCTGAATTCTAACACATTTAGATCTTTTTCTGTCCTACCCAAACCTTACATGTCAGTAGACTTGCCTGTGCGTTCTGGTTCAGAGGCTGGCATAAATGACGAGGGCCCTCTGAGGCTGATGAATGCCAGTGCTATTTTCACCTCTCCTGCTTGTCACTCTGTAATTGCAGTAAATGCAATTGGAAGTACTTTTATTTGAAGGCCATTTGACAGAGGGGAAGAAAACACATTTACTCTTTCAAGGCCCATGTGTTTTCCTGGGAGAAGCCTCCCTATCAAATTTGTCCTTTTATCCTTGGATAGCTATTTGGGAAATTTCTTTGGACAGTGAAACCTCCCCAATGATTTCGCAACCTAAGAACAGAGCCATGATTCACAGTGTTTCCGCCAAACTCTCCCTATCTCTTTTCCTCCTATGTTCTAAAGACCGGAAGGCTGTTTCAGGCTTGTGTGCTTGAAGCCTGTTTTTTCCCAGAGTGAGATAGAAAATTTGCATGCTTTACTCATTAAGCTATTTTCATCTAGAATTTAAGGAACAAATTGTTTTTTAAAATCTGTGGCTCTATTAAGGTAATACAAATCAAGATGAGTACTTTCCACTTTTTTACAGTATTCTTTTCTAACTCACCCTTCTCATAGGAACTCAGGGACACTCAAAACAGTTGCTTTTATTGTTTTCATTGGAGAGACGCACTAAGGGAACACAGCTAGCTTGGGCACGTTTAACAGAACCATCCTATGTCATACACAAGAAAGTCTTTCTTATTTTGCAGAACAAAAAGAAGAAAAATGCAAAAGTAATGTTTATACTTTGCTGAAGCTGTTTGAAGTTTATACAAGTCATCCTACCTTCTGACCTGCCTTTCAAACATCACGATACTTGCTGTTCTCGTCTGTCCAATCGCAGGTCTGTTTCAATGGTTCTTACCTATAAACAGGTTCCACTCGGTGTCCAGATCCGCCTGATTGGCCAAGCAGCCCTTCATGACATTGAGGCAGTAGTTGTTGCAGGGTCTCACAGTGGGCAGTCCTCGACAGTATGGACAGTACAGCATCTTCATGAGTGCGCGGATACACCCAGGGGTGGGGCTCACCTGTAGAAAAATTAGAAAGTAAAAGGAAAAGAAAATCAGAAATAAGAAGAACAAAAGACAGGAAAAAGGAAGTCACTTTGTCCATTAAAAAAAGAAGAAAAAAAAAAAACAGGCAAAATAGCTCTAGTAATCTTCAAACAGTTGAAATTATCAGGATCTCAACCCCAGAATGATAACCCTTTTTAATTCCTCTTGAAGCCAGCCCATACCTATTGAATACTTCTGCTCAGCAAATTAATAACCAACTTTTGAAATGTCCCTGTCAACATTTTGATATTGATGCCATTGTAATTCAGCCCTAAAACAGACATAGTTCCATTGCAACAGGACGTGAAATGAGATAAAGCACGTGGAAGCAATTTGGAAAGTTAAAAGCCCCATAAAAGTGTAGGTATTATTAAAGTTTAATGTGACACCTTTAGAAAAGTTTCCAACTAGTTACTTGACCTTTTTTTCTCAAGGAGGTTGGCGGATAGACTTTTGCACATAATTTTTTTGAAAAGAGCAGTATCAACTTGTCTGGGACTTCTGAGATCCAGGCCTATGTCAAAGCAATGGAACCTATAAGGCACCATTCACAGGCATCTGTGATTGTACTGGTGCTGAATGTAAGCAGAGGAGTTATTCAGAGGAATTACTAATCAACTGACAAAGAAGGGCTATTGGTGCTGAATAAGAAATGTGATACACCAGAGTTAATCACTTCTAAAACAATAAGGACTTTTAAAGACTCATTAAAAACTCTAATTTGACTTTAAGAAGAAATAATATTTAAAGCAGTATACATCATCAATAAAAAATACAGGAAGTTTTTTTCATGACTACATGTTAAATTATTGTCCTACCGTTTAGTTGGGTTACAGAATTTTGATGTTTTAGTCAAGTAACTAAATACATATTGCTATACTTGTGCTTTAGATCAAAGGGAAAAAAATAACCTCACTAAAGCTAACTGGAGTTGTTGGGCCTTGTGAGAACTGTGGTCGTATTAGAGGGACTGGGTCCATGGGTGACATTTATCTAGCAAGGACATTCAGATCATTCAGGTACTGATGGGGCATATTGCCAGTATAATGCTAGAACACTGAAGTATTTGCACATAAATGGACACTTTCAATTTCTATAGCTACTCCAGGTCATTCTATCCTTTACCTAAAAACCAAACTTGGGTACTTTTAATGCTTCTCTTTGGTTTCTGTAACATTTTTAAAATTTTATGCTGCATGCTGATAATATCCTAAGACATTATCTCAGAAAATAAAGCCATTTATTTATTTATCTGGACACTGGAATATCCAGATGTCCTTCTGAGTTTTTTTGCATTTTATGTCAAAATTTTGATGAAAAATTTCAAATATACAGACAAGTCAAAGGCTTTTTATGGTAACCAGTTATATGTCCACTCCTAGACTGTTCAGTTTGCATTTTCCTGTTTGCCTTTTATCTTTTTTGTGTTCTTTATCTGTCGTATCTGTCTATTAATTCACCTCATTATTTTACACCAAAGTAATATCCATTTTCTTTTACTCTAAAGCAATCTCTCCTTGATTCTTACTTTTCCTAACAATTTAATGTTGGCTTGAATGAAACGGAATCAACATGATCAACAATAGAAGTGTGTGAAGTACTCTAAGTTAAGGAAGTGAAGTGAAATATAATTGGCATTTATAAAGATACAGAGAGAATGACAGTAATCATTCTAAAAATGCTATGACAACAAATAAACAAAGAAATGGAACAGAAATAAAGAGTCTAGTGGTTCTATGTATGTATGTGTGTGTATGTATGTATGTATGTGTGTATGTATTTATGTATGTGTGTGTATGCATGTATGTGTGTATGAATTTATTCATTTGTGAGAATATAGTAATGTTATCATATCACTTTCAGATTAGCTGCTTCATTTGAGCAGAATTGTTTTAAAATTTTCTTTTATCCACAGATATCCCAAGCCATCCATTAAAAAACAAACTCAGAGGCTATAATTCTGTATTACACATAAATGTGAGCTTTCAAATTCTTACATATTCATTTCTTATTTGCAGCCTGACAAAGCCTTGTTTGTAAAATTTTATTTTACATTGTTTTTCATAACATTGCAATTTCTGTACAATGCTTCCAACAAGGACTCACTGTATTTTCACTCAAGCTGACAAAACCTCATTCTTTGATTGTTATGCTGTTCATTTTCTCAGCAGTGCTTATATATAATGTTTTGTTTCTTCATATTCAGTGTCCCAGGGTAAAACTTGGAGCATTTGTCAACACGAGGGATGCAAACTCGAGACCTCTTGGACACCTTGACTGTCTTGTCCATCATTATAACTGCTCTGCACAAGGTACATATCATATAAAGTATTATGATTATGATACACATGCTCAGATCCTTTCTGAATCATCCTTTCTGTTATGTTTACCAATTTCTTGGCCACACAAATATTCAGAGATGAAAAAAAAAACAGAAAAAGATGGTTTCATACATCTTAGCATTCAATTGTTGCTTTTAAATTTTGCTGTCAAATGCTATTGATTGTATTAATTTCAAAGCTTTGCTTAAAAAAATTGTGTTAGAACCAGCACAATTTTCTCAGTCTGACATTTCAGAAGAGTCTCCAACTCAGGGTAGCAACCAACAGAGATAATTGAACACCCTTAATAACCTAAAAGAACAATGTTGTTTAAGTTAAGTGTGGGTCTCCAAGCACATTCAGAAAGGATATCCTTCTTGGTCAAACGAAGGACATTTGAAGAAGAAAACCAAGCTTGGGGGATCAAAGTCAAAGCTTTCATTGCATGTCATGTGTTTTGAACTTACCCATTGTATGGCTAAATTAAACTTTCTAAAATTCTTGCTTCAAACTGAATAGAAAGTTGTTTTAAATACCAGTTATGTAAAGTGTTATACTCTTTAAAACTCTATTTTCAAATTGATATAGACTCACACAAATTTGAAGAAGTAATGAAGTTATGGTACCCTTCACTCACAGTCTTGAAGTGGTGACATTTTACATAGCTGAAGGGTAATATCAAGACATGGCAATTGATAGTATTACTCTGCAGTTATCCAGTCCATAGATCTTATTAAGTTTTTGTAATGGTTGATACATTGTGTCAACCTGAGAACCTTAAATGTTTAACTAAGTGACTCAGCATGGGGCCAGGGCCTTCACTTTGTAGACATCCTAATCCTGTGCAAGAGGAGGGCACAGAGAAGTTGTGAGTGCTACATATGCCCTGCCCTAGGGTGTGTAGCCTGCACACAATACAAAGGAGGAAAAGAGGCTTGCTCCCCTCATTTTTGCTCTTGCTGCTTCTGCTTTCTTCTGACACCTCCAACTATTGTCTCTCACCATGCCACCCTGCCTTGGAGCCAACTGATTATAAACTGAAACCGCCACACACTGTGAGCTAAATAAACCTCTCCTTCCTTAATTTTGGGTATCAGGTATTTTGTCTCAGCAATGAGAGAAAAGTAACCGACACACTTTTGATTACTTTTTACACCTGCATGTCTTTGTATGTGCATGGGTCTACACAACTTTGTGCAGTTTTATCCTATATACAGAGCTGTGTAATCATCAAAATCAGTGTACAGAATCATTCTATCACCAAAAGAATTCTTTTGTCCTACCTCTACCTCACCCCTTATTCCTGTCAGCTAGAAGCCACTAATCTGTTTTTTTTTAATCTGTATAATTTCATCATTTTAAAAGAAAGATTTGAAAATAGAATCAAACAGCCTATAAACTTTTCAGCTTAATTTTCTTTATTTCTTTTTTTTTTCACCAAACATAATGCCCTTGAGGTCCACTCATGCATTAGTAACATTCCTTTTTATAACTGAGCAATATTTCATTGTTTGGACATACAGAGTTTGCTCAACTATTCATCCACTGAAGGGTAACTGGGTTGTTATTCAGTTACCCACTGAAGGGTAACTAGGTTGTTTGCTAGAAGCATTCATGCATATGTTTTTGCATAAACATAAGTTTTCATTTTTCTAGGATAAGTATTTAATAGTATAAATAATGGATCATATGGCAGGTGCATATCTAGTTTTGTAAGCAATTGCCAAGTATTTTCCAGAGGGTACATGTAGTATTTTACTTTCCTATCAGTAATGGATAAGAGTTTTTTCTACATTCTTGTCAGTATTTGGATTATCATTATTTTTTATTTTATATATTCCAATAGGTATCCATTTTTAATTTTATTGTGAATTTCCTTTAAATAATACGCTACACCATTCTAGTCTGAGTGTAACCATATGAACGTTGGATCTCAAATCATCTACAAGTAGGTCTCTGGGCAATATGAAAATTAAAAATAAATAAGCCTGATATATGTCTGTATATTTAGAAAAAACAGCATTAAAAAAGAGTTGTAAGAGTCACATTCAAAATTTAAAAAAAGAAAAATCTCAAACATAGGGAGCCACAAATTTGTAAATTTTTTAGAGTATTAGGAAAAACATTTCCTACTGAAGAAAGTTGTATTCTTTTAGCAACAATAATGAATATAAACATTTTTAAGGAATAAAATGTTGAAACTGTTCTTCTAGTTGGTAATGTGAATTTTTGTTTATGTTTGAAATCTATATCTGTAGCTGCCAAAATATTCAAAGTAGACTGGGAAACAGACTTATGTAGTCAAATAATAACTTCATAATGATGACTTTGGATAGGATACTTATTGGAGTTTACACCAAAAAATTAATAATTTTTTGTCAAGAATTTATATTGGAAGGAAGAAGAAATATGAGCTCCTTACATTTTGGGTTAAATTCTATTTTACCTTCTTCTTTTGGTCTTGTTTGTATAATGAGTGACATGTTATATCATAGGTAATATTATAAACAATGTTCTTGCAGAATAACTGCATATAAATAAGACAAAATATTTGAGCTGTCCCTATGAAACTTCATGGTTTTATTGATGTAGTTCATTTTGTAAAGGTGCTACACTGGAATATTTTAAGAACTATGAAAAGGATACGATCAA